GAGCGGGAGCTGCGGGGCGCGGGGCTGGGCTGCCCGGCGACGGCTCACGGTGAGAGGACTCGGCTGGCGGGACGGGGACCAGGCCCCCTGCTCCGCTGGGACAAAGCGCCGAGGAGGGCTCCGGGGCTCCACGTGTCCCTCCGCTGCCGCAGACCCAGCAGCCCGGGGGGGTCCGCAGCCTCCCCCAGCGACAGGCTTGTGGTGCCCCGGGCCCCGGGGACGGGGCTAGAGGTCCCACTGTGCTGGTCTCCACTGGTTCGGGCTCAGAAAATGCGGCCTACAGGAAACCACTCGCGAAGCCTAGGGGCTGGAGATGGTTCTCCTGCTCGTAGTATATTGTTGCAGTTGCCTGGAGATAATCCTGCAAGCGTTTTAATGTAGCCTGCTATTAACTTTTATAGACAGTCATTATCAATTGAGTTTTTCAGCTTGAACAAGGAATTACATGAAATTATTATACGGCACAATATTATTCTGAGTCACCTGAAACCTGAGCTGCGAATCTGTGGGGTATTTTGATATCTGTATCTTGCAAGCTGCAGGGAATCTCCTTGCTAAAGAACCTGTTGGTTCAGCCTTTGATACTATAATTATCGCAAGCAGAGAATAGCTGTGAGCTGTTTCTCTCTGTCCTTCCCCATGAGGGCCCAGCTGGAGAACGGCAGATCCCACCAACGTCTCGTTTCAAACCCTGCGCTGCAGCCGCGTGGCCTGGGGGGTGTCTCCGTTACAAGGTATTGACTCTTCCCAGACCCCTGCAGGAACACTTCAGTGTTTTAGGATGAGGGAACTAAGCTAGGGAGTGAACCCGGGAGTGGGGGCTGACAGATGAGCGGGAGGGAAGGGTTTGGGCCTCCGCGATGTGCGCGGGGGAGCCGCTGGGTCTGGTGGTGACCCACAGGGACGTGGCCCTGCACCGGGGCCGTCTGCTGCCGTAGGGTGGCACCCGTGTCCTACACCCCTAGACACAAACGCCGCTCATTCTTAAACATCGCTTAGAGATAGAGGCTTTTCCAGAACCTCCTGGAAAACAGGATTTCCAGCCCAAATTTGTTCCAGGGGAGTTCATACTCCCCAGTATGAACAGTGCCAGCACTTTTCCCTGCCATGAGGGTTCTCATGCTGTTTGCTGTCTGTGAGCTTTTTAAGGCACCTGTACAGCCTTTGCCTTGCTAGGCTGAAGGAGCCAAGACCTAGTCCTGTTTGTAAGACACTCGATTCCCTTCTGCATCTTAGAGGCTCTTTCATCTGTCCCATCAGGAAATAATCTTTCTTGAATCTTGGTGACCTGCATATCGTGTTCCAGATGAGGTGTCATAACAGTCCCGTAAGATATTTCCATTATTGCCTCCCTGATATATTGGTTTTTTTTCCTGTCATCCTGAAGTCACTCTGTGATTGCATCCACAAATTTTGCTTCTTTTTAAAATGTGGAGTTAGCATTGACAAGGATTTGTGCAAGTGCACACGGATAGCTGCTGTATGAATAAGCACCCAACTTCCCTATTAAAGGTTAACTGTGAAGCTGAGGGGAGAGCCCAACGCTCTCCACAAAACCCTCCTTGTCCCTGTTTGTTGCCTCAAATCTTTAATTGTTTTGCAGCGTGATGTTGGATGTGGGAAGCTGTTTCCAGATAGCTCCTGTCCAATTTCTTTCAAGGTGTGAAATGGAACTGGGGATCTTTCTGGGAAATGGCCAAACAGAACCTGGGCACCATTTTTGCTCCCCACACTTTCAAAAACGCACTGGCTCGTCTGCCAAGGAAAATCCACACAGACTCTCCCTTCCAGCGGGAAGCCTGGTTCCCGTTCCCCTGCACCGCAGCGAGCCGGCTCTTGGCACCTAAAGGTAGCGTTTAAGCTATGGTGGCATTTTCAGCACTGACTGCCTGAATGTTTCTCTGGACACAAAGCCACAGTAATACTGTGAAACACAACAATGGATGTTGGTCAGATAAAAGTACTCTGGTTTTACTCTTCGAGACGGTGCGATTTTCTCGCTGGGAGCTCTGCAGGGCAGCAGCGTGCGCCAGCCCTATCTGCTAGGGTGGAAGTTCAGTGATCAACACCCACCAAACCCTTGAACGCTGCAGGCAGGAGTAGGTGAAACATGTTTGTGCACGAGAGCTGGCAACTCCTTTCAGTCTGTTGTGGCCACAAGCTGATAAACCGCTCCGCAGCTGACTGGGCTGGAACCGGGGCTTTTGTGGTCGGGGTCCAGCAAGAATTCTGCTCGATGTAACACCACGTGCTCTGGTTTGCCTTTAAGACCTTCGTGGTTTCCCAGGGAAAAGGAACTCAGACCAGGCGTCGCTTTCGCTCCTCACACCCTGTAGAGCCAACAGAACTGTGGAGTGTTCACCGAGAGACGCCGCCGCACGCCAGCGGGCTGGGGGGAACGCCGCCAGCGCTGCGGCACGACCGACGACCCTCCACGGCGAGAGCTCACAGCCACCGACTGCATCCCATAATATGCTGCTCCTCCACTGGGAGAGATGGCTCTTTTCCAGGGCTTAGGTCCTTTGTGCCCACGGCAGCACTGCTCTACCGACGGGCTCGGGGCCGCGCCAGGCGGCGGCAGCACCGGGCTCAGGAGCTCTGCTCCCCCGGGGCCTTCCGCGGGGCCGCCGCCGGGCCCCCGTCCCCGTCCCTTCCGGCGG